GAAAGGGACTATCATCATCTCCACTTTGCAGAGAGGGAACTGAGGCACGGAGAGATTGTGTGGCTTGTCCAAGGACAAGGTACAGCTGAGAACAGACTGCAGGTCTCCTGAGTTCCCACCCATCATGTACGGCAGGAGAACAATGCATGCGTCTGGCCTACTACAAATGTTTGTTCCTTTGCATCTCTCCAGCCTTTAAAGCAATTATCTTGACCTTGAGGATCAAGGCCCTTTGTTCTTTCAGGTAATAAAAAAGACTGTTTGCTTTTGCTGGGTGAGATCTGAGAGAGCTTGCATGCACATCAGACGTCTGCAGACCCCCCACCTCCACCCCCCTGTACACCTTTGTTGTGACAAAGGAGTCAGTAGGTTAGAAAGCTGAGCAACAAACTCTTTTGAAGCATGCTGTTGTCTGTTCTCTAATGTGGTACAGTGTGCGCTCATCAGAAATTCCGTCGCTGCCTCAGTTTTTAATGGAAACATAGCCAAGGGCACGCACTATTAAACAGTTGGAAAGGGACTGGCCTGTTGCTGCAAAAAAAGAAATATCCCACCACACTCAGCTGAGTGTCTGAGCGCACTGGGAACATAACTGATCTTCCTGTCCAGCTGCTCTCCCATCTTCTCCCCTGCCAGTTATACTCTGTTGAACTCTTCCCCGCCAGCATGACTTCATCAGAAGATTACCTTCGACAGGACTGGAGGATAGTCCATGACATTCCAATGGTCTGTGCATTTTCATACCACTGGGAAAGGATTGAGAACTTCCAGAGCAGGCCAGATGACCTCGTGATAGCCACGTACCCCAAATCTGGTGAGTTTTCATGGCTTTCAGGATTAGGAGCCACAATGAGTCATGCCCTATGGTCCTGGAAATGTAGGGGAGTCCCTTCAAGCCCCATCATGCTCCCCTTGTGAAAGCTAAGCAGCTGCACTCATTCACAGTTGTTGCTAACAATAATGAGCAAGAATGCCAAGGAGCCTTTCCAGTATTTCACAGCTCCCAGCCTACATTTCGCTCATTGGAAATGATCCCATCAAATTTAATGCCAAACCCATCTGGACTGGGATTTGTTCCTTCCTGAAATTATCTTTCTATGGCCTCCAGCATCTGAAATGGGAATACCCCGGCACCATGCAGTCACAGGGAGACGAATGGGCATTTCCCCTCCCCCACAATGTAAAGGGACAAACTTAACATAGTACACCTCTACCTTGATATAACGCTGTCCTCGGGAGCCAAAAAAAATCTTACCGCGTTATAGGTGAAACCGGGTTATATCGAACTCGCTTTGATCCACCAGAGTGCGCAGCCCCGCCCCCACCCCGGAGCACTGCTTTACCGCGTTATATCCAAATTCGTGTTATATCGGGTCACGTTATATCGGGGTAGAGGTGTATTTTCTTGGACTGTCCTAGTGTTTGGTGATGTGCCTGGCTAGGCTGGAGACACAGGCCTGGTCTACACTACAAAGTTAGGTTGACATAAGCTGCGTTAGGTCGATTTATTAATATATGTTTCCAGTAGAACACTATCCGGGTTGCAAGGGGCTGGAGACTTTGTGGAGTCACTAAGGTCAGGTCCCGGGATACTTTGAGTTATTCTGGTTGATTAAGGAGGGAGACCGATGCACAAACTGTGATCACTGCAGTGCAGCGCCTTAGAGCCCAGGTACTATAAAAGAAGAGGGAAATTGAGGCACACATGAATCATTTGACAAGTAAAAGGTCTTTGGTTCCAGGGATAGGTGAATTCTGAGCAATCTCAGGCAGTTCATTTGCCAGCTGACCAATGTCTTTTTTTTTATTATTATTATTATTATTTTTTTTATTTTTACTTGTTTTTGCAGCAGTTTCTGTCACCTTCACTCATGCTGATTAGCACTTTAATGCCGGGGATAGCTCCCAGAGTGAAATAAAATTAAATGTGAGCAACGTCAGCAGAATCTGGCCCTTGAATTGATAGGTTGATTTTGAGTGGTTCATATATTTTACTTTAACCATAAACAAAGCAGCAGGCTCAGAAGAGATGGAATTAAAGGTCTGGATTTTCTCCATTATGGTGTGGATGGTTTAAATCAGGGCTTCTCAAAGCCGGTCTGCCGCTTGTTCAGGGAAAGCCCCTGGTGGTCCGGGCCGGTTTGTTTACCTGCCGCGTCCGCAGGTTCGGCCAATCGCGGCTCCCACTGGCCGCGGTTCGCCGCTCCAGGCCAATGGGGGCTGCGGGAAGCGGCGCGGGCCGAGGGTTGTGCTGGCCGCCCTTCCCGCAGCCCCCATGGGCCTGGAGCAGCAAACTGCGGCCAGTGGGAGCCGCGATTGGCCGAACCTGCGGACGCGGCAGGTAAACAAACCGGCCCGGACCACCAGGGGCTTTCCCTGAACAAGCGGCAGACCGGCTTTGAGAAGCACTGGTTTAAATGGTTGTGAGCCAGAAGGGCTGAGAGTTCAAAATACTGATTCATCTTTCCAAACAGATCACCTGCCATTCCAGCAAGGAACCAGTCCCAGTCAGCAAGCCTTGCTGTGACTCTATGGCATAGCTTGGAGGGTTGTAGCACAAGCAGCTCTGTTGCACTGGCTCATAGGCAAGCCGGCAGGGGTTAGAAGAGGGGAAACTAAGGTGTTGAGATGGGAGAAGGGGCATCATCATCTCTCTTGTCCCACATTAGCTGGGATAGGCCCGTGCGATGCATTATATAAATGGTAAACTCTCCTTGGGGCTGCAACCATGTCTTCTCCTGTGTCATGTAGGCAGCTGCTGAGCACAGTGATGATGCTCATCAAAAACATAACAATGGAAAATCAACTAGCAATTGTGTTGGCCTAGGAGAGGCCTCACACCATCCCTGAAAATGGGTGTGGTTGCAGATCTTCCACAAAAAGAGCTGTGAAGTGGGCCGCTTGCCATCAGTAACTGTATTTGACAGTGCTGGCAAACTATTATGTTTGGCTACAGATTAATGATCTCACATTGCTACTCAGCCTCGGGCGAGTAGAAGAGATGTAGCTAGAACAGGGGTTCTCAAACTTCATTCCACTGCAGCCCCCCTTTCTGGCAACAAAAATTGCTACGTGACCCCAGGAGGGAGGACCGAAGCCTGAGTCCACCTGAGCCCTGCTGCCCCGGGTGGGGGGGCCAAAGCCAAAGCCCCACTGCCTCAGGTGGGGGAGGGGCCCAAAGTCCAAGGGCTTCAGCCTCAGGCAGGGGATCAGATGGTGGGGGTCCCAGCAAGTCTAAGCCAGTCCTGGGAACTCCATTAAAATGGGGTCATGACCCACTTTGGGGTCCCGACCCACAGTGGAGAACCGCTGAGCTAGAATATTGAAGATCCTAAATGAATAGGCTGAATACCATAAGTGCTGTTGTCTTGGCTGGAAGAACAATGGATGGGGTTCCTGCTTGACTGTTCCTTGTGGGATAAACTTGGTTCTTGACTGGATTTTTGTTCTCTTGTCTTCTTTCCAGGCACTACGTGGATAAGTGAAATTGTGGACATGATTCTGAATGACGGAGATCCTGACAAATGCAAGCGGGATGCAATTTTCAACAAAGTGCCCATGTTGGAATTAGCCGTCCCTGGAAAGATGCCACCAGGTAAACGTAGCACTAGTGTTGGGTGACTACAGACAAAAAGGTCAATGATTCAGTGTGGCAGGCTTGCAGCTCAGGAGAGGAAAGAAGGGATTATGGAGCACTGGCCTAAGACTCAGAAGATCTGGGTTCAGTTCCTGACTTTCAGTGAGACTTGGGTGCTTTTGGAAATGTTACCTTTAATGACTTCTCTATCGGCATCAATGATCCCTTTGAACCTCTGCTTACCAGGTACAGAGAAACTGGCCAAGATGTCATCTCCTCGTTTAGTGCAAACCCACCTCCCAGTCCAGCTCCTTCCAATGTCCTTCTGGGAAAATGGCTGCAAGGTAACCAGTAGCTGGGACCTCAGACCTTCTGGATAATAGGCTGATAGGGGAAGTACCATGTGTCTTGAGCACACAGAATACTCCTGCTAGTCCCACCCTCCGCCAGGTTCCTCTCCCTCATTTTTACCCACTGACTCTTTTTTCTCCAGTGGGAAGAGGTTTAATTGTGAGTTTCCATGGTGATATCTACCTACAGCAGCATTTTTGCAGCTTTACCTTTACAACATTGGGATGCAAGTTTGTATTCACAGTTAGGCTGAGATTTTTCAAAGATCCCTAATGGATCAGGACGTCCACTTCCCATTAAAATCGGCCTCGTGGGATTCCAGTGCCTTTAGATAACACTCACTCGGTGTTGAGTAAGATGTTTTTCCAGCCATCATCCTGGGATCTGACAGTCAGGCTGGGTTCTTTCTGGCTCATACATCATCAGTAACAATGATCCTGGAAAGCAAATTCTGCCAAAATCTGTGCAACACCCATTGTCTTAAAATACTGCTTCCTGGGCAATCCCCATTGTCTTCAATGGGGTTACCCACGCATAACTGAGGGGTAAATGTGGTCTTGCAATTGCAACTCAACTAACCGTTCCGCCTGATGGTATGAGAGCCAGAATACAATCCAGCTCACTCCTCTGTAGCCATGTTGGCCCTGCAGGGCATGATGTATTTTGCCACTGTATGAATGGCTATGTCTGAATACACATGGGAGCAGACCCACTGACTGCTACACCCAGGGAGTAGGACGATGCGCCCCGAGGGCAGGGCACTTCGGGATTGCATTGTTTCCATCCTTCAGAGGTAGGCTGGTTTAACCTGCGACTCAGGCTCTATAGGAGGTCCCCAGGGAGATGCACTGAATTAACTAATCCCCCAGGCATCCTGGTCACAATCCCTCCTTGGCAAACACCACTCCCTTTGGCAGTTGTGCTGACTGCCTGTTGTTCCCCTAGTGGAGTACTAGTACCGCCAGTTTCCATCCCTGCGGGGCCTGTGCACTAGGTTACACTGGCAGAAATGTGTGTGTGTTTTCCCCATTTTTACAGATGGGGAAGCTGAGAAACAGAGATCGACCCAAGAGCACAGAGTCAGTGGAAAAGCTAGTGTCAGAGCCAGGATTAGAGCTCGTGTAGCTTCCATTCCCATGCCCAGGCCATGGTGCTCTACTCTCAGACCACAGTGTCCAGGGGCACTTTCAATCCCTGCAGCTTGAATTTGGCCCTTGAGCCACAGTTTGGATCCCCTGCAGTAGGGCTGGGATTTTGAAAGGAGCCTAAGGAAATTAGGCACCCAACTCCCTTAGGCACCTCTGAAAATCCAAGTCTAGAGCCACTCAGAACTCAAGGTCACCGAGGCAACGTGGATTCTTCTCTTCTTCCTGCCACAGATGATCTATGTTGCCCGAAATGCCAAAGATGTAGCTGTCTCCTTCTACCATTTTGACCTGATGAACCAGCTGTATCCAGAGCCCGGCACGTGGGAACAGTACGTTGAGAAATACATGGCAGGCCGAGGTGAGACTGACGTCTGTTAGCAATTCACGTTCCTGAGGTTTTAAATTGAGGCTGCTTGAAGCATAAAGGAAAAGAGACTTGCAACTGCAGGTGAATTTCTCCAGGCCAGGTTCTGCCTCTTGGTGGAAAAATTGGATGCTGTGCCTTTCAATGTACTCTCTGTATACTAGGAAATGCAATGAGAACGGAGGGAGGGAATTTTCCTACTAGACCAGAGAGTTTGAGTAGCCTCCACTGCATCTGTGCTCCCCTTCAGAGGGAGCAGTGGTTGGGGAATCTGCATAGCAGTGCATCCACGGGCCCAGACCTTGTATAACTATAACGTAGGGCCAGATCCTCAGCAGCTGTAAATCAGCATAGATCCATTGACTTCAAGGGAGCTATGGCTAATTTACACTAGCTAAGGATCTGGCCCATTTACTTTAATGAAGCTACGCTGATTTACACCAGCTGGGAATCTGGCCATTGACTTCATTGAAAGTATGCCAATACCAGCTGGGATCTGGCCCTAAGCTGTATTTATAGAAGAGTTAGTTAATATATAGTTTCTGCTCCAGTCACACAAAATAATAGATGAGGATTCTAACCTGACAGTGGAATCAAAGGGACAAAGAATTTGACCTAGTGTAAGCAAATAGCCGCAACTGATGGCTTGTGCCCAATTTACACATGATGTCATAGTAATTGCACACACAATGCATTTCAGTGGCGTTAAGCCAAAAGAGAACATGACCCCCAGTGACCTGACACGCTTGTGTTACTAAGAGTATTTTGTGTACCTTTTTCTCTAAGTTTAGTTGCGTATGGTTCCTGGTATGACCATGTGAAAGGCTGGTGGGAGAAGAGAAAGGACCATCCCATTTTATACCTGCTCTATGAGGACATGAAAGAGGTGAGAGGGCAACAGGTACCCACTGGAGGGGCCACTCCACACACACCAGGATGGCGGCAACAAATCTGACACCTGTTCAGTGCCTTACCCTACTGTGCAATGTGCATCTGAAGAGCAGTCTGGCTGTCCTGAAGAGAATTTCTCTCTAGGGTAGTCTGGTCCACCATGAGTAAAAGGGCCAGACTGTGACTCTTTAAATGCTTTGGCTGGCGCTAATACTACCCCTGAGCTGTGATCCTCCCTCCTTCCCCACTTATTCTCCCTTATCTAGAACTGTGTCTAGATTTATCATGAGCCTCATGATATCAAATGGATTTATCCTCATAACACCCCTGTGAGGGAGGTCAGTGCTGCTATTCCCCCCATTTTTACAGAACTGAGGCATAAAGAGGTTAAGTGACTTGCCCAGGGTCACACAGGAAGTGTGTGGCGGAACAGGGAACTGAATCCAGATGTCCTGAGTCCCAAGCTAGTGCCCTAACCACTGGGCCATTTTGCTTTCCCAAAGCCTCTTGCCCATGTTGGAGTTCAGGCTTGTGGGAGTGCATCTCTTGAAGAGCAAGCACCAAAAGAGCTCCTTTCTTTAAAGAGACTTTTAACCCTCTCATTTCAAAATGCTGACGTAGCACATTTATTAAGAGGCAGGAAGGGGGTGGGGGGGAGTTAGGGAAGCATATAACTAAAGATGGGGGAGCTAGTCTAGAAGTGACTTAACTTCTTGCTCAGACCCAAACTGAACCTTAGATGGGGATTTGAAAAAGAACAGTTGCTCCTGTTCCCTTTAATTCCATTTCATGTAGTTCAAAGCTATAGTTGGGATGTTTATCCAAATCTCTCTGGTATGGAAAGCATCCAAGATCAGGCTCTCATGAGATTTCTGATACTGCTGGATTGGAAATACCCAATTCCTCTCCCAGCTAAAACCAGGAATTCCAGAGTGAAATTAATCACTACCTTCCCAATTAACAGTAATAGAGGGCTAGTATTTGGAGCTGGGTTATTCTGAAGTTTAGCATCCACGTATTGCTGAAGAACAGGAAGTGAAGTTTGAGAGTAAGGGCCAGGTCCTCAAATCAGCATAGTTCCACTAGTGTAGTCATTCGGGCTGCAGCAGCTGCGGATCTGGCCCTAAGAATTCTGTGCCTGGCTGGGGAAGATGTGGCTGGAATTAGGGTCCCTCTGGACTGGCTGTCTGCATCACTTTCTAAATAAAGCGATGGGACTGGTGAGTTACAGACCAGTCTTGGTCTCTCTCTCTACACATCTTGCACCCCCCAAAAAACTGTTAAAATAACATTATTTGGGTTGCAAAGTCAAGTACTCAAAAGTTAGGCAGTGCCAGAATTAAGCTTGCCTGTGCAATGTGCTAATGCTAGAGAGGGAGACAAAGAAGGGTTTTTTTTTTTTTTGGCTATTAATCTCCTTTCTATTTTGGGAAAGAGTGTAAGAATTGGGTGCAAAGTTGATGAAATGTATTGATGGATTGCTGGATATTAGTTTTGATACAGTGGAACAACTAAGGTTGCTGGCACCTCCATACAAGTTCTAGACTTTCACTGTTTTACATGGTGGTAACCTGACTAGTTGAGCCACTGGGTCCCACCACCTGAAGTGCCACTTGTTTTTCTGTAGGATCCAAAGCGTGAAATTCGCAAGGTGATGCATTTCCTGGGGAAGGATCTGAAGGAAGAGGTTCTGGACAGGATTGTCTATCACACTTCATTCGAAATGATGAAAGAGAATCTCACCGCAAATTATAAGATGGTCCCAAATGATGTTATGGATCAAAGCATCTCCCCTTTCATGCGTAAAGGTAAGGATTCGCACAGGCACTAGCAACCATTTTTCTTCTCCTCAGTTGTAACAGGAAGATACTTTTTCATCCAGTTTTTTCCTCTGTAAGCTACCCAGAAAGGTGGTCATGTTTATATCTGATGGCTTTTCAGTGGCTTGTGTAAAACAGGTTGGTGGTACCGTTTCTAGTGGATAGGTGTTTAGTGTCTTATGTCAAGGCATCTGCGAGATATAATTAGTAATTCCAGTCTCATGAAAGAGGCCAAGGACTGAGTGGGCATGGAGACTGAACTACACTCGCCCCAAGAAGTATTCACCAGAAGAACAGAGCAGAGTGGCATTGCGGAAGCCTGCACGCTGCTGCTGCTGCTACGTGTTTAGAACTTGATCTTTGACTAAATGGGGGCAATAGAGCCAGATTTTCAAGAGTTCAGCTCCAGTTAAACATCAAAACGAAGTGACTGGATTTTTCAGAAGTGCCGAGCATCCAGCAGCTCCCACTGAGAACAATGGGAGCTGCGGCGTGTTAAACCCTTCTGAAAATCTGGCCACATTTTTTCAGTGCCTAAATGGGAGCTACGCGCTTTCAAAATGTGACCCTAAATCCCCACATCTCCATATGATATCTTCGTCACGCCGCACATTCACTGGAAAAAGAAAAGCAAAGAAGCATGTTGGCCATAGGAGACAACTGAGAAAAATACAAATAGAACCAAAGGGTGGAGTGCAGACTGTGACAGACCCAGAACGGTTGGGTGCAGGAGTCTGGTAGAAGGAAAACATACTGGACACTGGATGAATAGTATTCTGTTCCCTGAGTGATCAGGGCAGGGTCTACCCGAGAACAGTCGGGAAGGTGCTAGAAGCAGTTAAGTCAGGCAGACTCCATAAGACACCTGGAACCAATTAAGAACGGATTCAAAGCAATCAAGGGAAACAGGCTAATCAGATCACCTGAAGCCCATTTAGAACCGGCTTGGATTAGTTTAAAAGGAAGCCCCCTCAGTGAGGCTAGCTGGTAGGAGCTGGGAGCAAGAAGGTGTGTTGTGGGAAGACTGGGAGCAAGAAGGTGTGCAGTAAAAGACCCTGGAGAACAAGCGTGGTCAGGTACCAAGGGGGGTGCTAGGAGGGGCCATTTGGGGAAGTAGCCCAGGGAAGGGCTATAGCTCTGGTAGTGTAGGAAAACTACCTGTTGCTGGTGCCATTAGGGTCCCTGGGCTGGAACCTGGAGAAAAGGGTGGACCTGGGTCCCCCCAACCCTCTCCACACCTCTACAAAAATGCTCCCTGAGTAGGAAGACAGGGACTAAAGAGGGCTCTTACACCAAACCCGTTGACTGACCGATGATGAAGGTGGATCAGTAAGCTGTTACCTTTGCCTCTAGGAGGGGAGAGGCTAAATTGAGGGTCACAGCAAACCTCTGAGGCCAGCCCTGACTGCCTAGACGTGCAGGACCCCCTGAGGGAAAGCTGGAGCTCTGCCACAAGACAGAATGATACAGTGTGAGCCATTTGGGACTAAGCCTGTTTATTTCTGTGTGTACAGTGCCTAGCACAATGGGGATGCAGTTTTGCTGTTCCCTGGACACTACCGTAATAAACATGTTTACTAATAGGTGAGCAGGAATAATTTCCACACTAAAACTGTTTAAAACCGTCAATATGGAATGCAGGATCTGGTTAGCTGGTTTGCTTTCTCTAGCATCCCCCCCAGCACTTCCACAAACCATTAGAAAATTGATCAATACAATATTTCAGTTCACCAATTTTCCAGTGACTAAATTCCAGTTAAAAGCTAATTGCTACCAAAACATTTTTTCAGTCTGCTATTTTTATCAATCCACTATCCTGGACACCAGCATTTTTCTTGATGCCTTTTGTGCTCAGTATATGGAAAAGGTGCTCAAAGTGTTAAGCTGTTAGGAGTTTTTAATCGAATAAACACTCAGTTTAATGAATACATTTTTCATGCACCACAAACAAAAATGTAGTTAATTTAATAGATCGAGTTTCAAATTCTGGCTTTATTAAACCCTCACAAATCTATTGGTGCTTGATGCAGTGGTTCTCAAACTTTTGTGTTGGTGACCCCTTTCACATAGCAAGCCTCTGAGTGTGACACACACACACACCCATTATAAATTAAAAACCCATTTTAAATATCTAACACTATTATAAATGATGGAGGTGAAGTGGGGTTTGGGGTGGAGGCTGGCAGCTCATGACCCCCCCATGTAATAACCTTGTGACCCCCTGAGTGGTCCTGACCCCCAGTTTGAGAACCCCTGAGCTAGAGAAAAGAACGTAACCGAGTAGAATTTAGACCATTAATGTTTTCTTGATACTCTTTTCTATTGCATTTTCCACCATTGGGAGTTCTTTTGCTTCAGGGCTCTGCAGTTTCATTCACTGTCCTTTTTTGTGTGTGTGTGTGTTTCAGGGATTGCTGGGGACTGGAAGAATCACTTCACTGTGGCCCAGAATGAGACATTCAATGAAGATTATGAGAGGAAAATGGCTGGGACCACACTGCAGTTCCGAACAGAGATCTGAAGGAGCCTGGCATCTTAGTGCTGTAGTTCTAATACACGGGTGACGGGTCTCTGTTTCTGTTGAGAATAGCTTTTCTCCCCCCCCACACACACCCTCCTTTCTTCAACTAGAAGTAGTACGCTGAGAAGTGTCTCTGCCCCAGTGATGGTCAGACACTTGAACCTGGAGTCTTGGGCCGTGTAGACCATGGTGCAGGGTCACACACTCCAGAGCAGAGGGATTGTTCCAAGAGTCTGGGATTCCATATAGGGTCTGAGTAGTAGGGAAGGCTCCTTGCTCTATGGTTACACACACCTTTTATGTTAGACTTTGAGTACTGGCCAGGCTCAAAGGACTCAGGCCCAGATCCTCAAAGCTATTTAAGCACCTAGGTCCCAGTCCCTTGAAATGAAAGGGAATTAAGCACCTAACTACTTTCAAAGATCTAGACCTGAATGATTCAGATGCATGAAGATACCACCATTTGGGCATCTCTAGCTGACTTGTTGACCACTGTTTATTCAGCCAATGCTGTAATGCAACAGTTTGCAAACTCTGGTCCATAGATAGAGCACTTGGTTGGTCCTTCTCTACATCTGGCTCGCCCTGTAAAAACTGCTGGGATAATGGAAGGGCAAACCTCACAGCCTTCACAAGAAGCTTCTAAAACTCTAAGGGAAGAGGAGCCTATAGTCATTACTGGGAAAAGAGCAACACGTCACTAAGAGGGCTGAAGCCAGGCAATTGCTCAATAAGACACTTTAACAAGGGAGTGGGGCAACCAGGAGGGGAGGGGTAGCTTGGTGGGGAGGGAGGTGCTGGGGAGATTCAATGAAGAGAAAAATGAAATAGTGGAATTTGGTTTGGGAAAGGACGCTTTCTTGATTTTGAAGAGTGTTAATTGTAGATTAATTCAAGTATTGTAATTTCTCTAGAGAATGGGGGCTCATAAAGGGGATAGTGCCAGGGAGGTGGGCGACCAGTTCTCTCTTAAGAAGTGGTCCACATTCTGCCTAAATATGAGAAATCCTGTATAAAATTACTTCTTCATCTAGTTTATGCTGACACAAAGTCAAATTCTACAAATCTGAATTAAACTGAGAAGTGCTTGGTCACCTGTGTAGCTTAGTCTATTCAGGTTCTTGTAGCCTTCCTGTCACCCTAGTATCTGTGCACCTTCCATTCACCAATGCAACAAGCAGCGTGTGCCTCCTCCTTCAACCCTCTTCCCCAAGGGGCACACTTGCAAGTGTGGGCTTGTGTGTGGGTGCACAATGGGATCTCTTCTGCAAATAAGCGATGCTTAACATGAGGAAAGGCTGCCCCCTGGTGTTGTTAATGAGCAGGGCGGTGAGCAAAAATACCAGCAGGGTTCATATGAGTGGAAAATAAAATGTCTTTATGGTGAAGTATTACTTTAAAAAAATGGTGATCTTCAACTGCACATTTTCACACTTAGCTACTGGTCATGTTTGACTTGTGCTGCTCTGAAAACCAGGCTGATGAAATAGTACATGGATTACACTGGACAGAGATTGTATCCCTGGGTCCACCTCGATTATAACGCCAGATGGACCCTGGCTGCAGTGAGCGATACAATCCGTGAGCAATGTGGATTGAGCAGCAGTATGATCGTGTGGACGCAGTAGGACCATGCACACGGATTAGCCTGCTCGATCCACGTTGCGCACAGACCGGATCGCTGGCTCCGGGGCGCAGCGGGGCGTGCCGGCAGCCGGCACCCCACGCAGGACGCTCCTCTGCAGTGCTGGGCAGGGTGAGCGCTGCAGCCCGCTCCCCTAAAGGCGCCCGGCTGTATTGCGTTGTGGGTATTTGCCCACGTGACGTCAGAAAAGCCCCTCGGGACGTCACGGGGCCCCTGAGTTTCCCACGGGGCGGGAAGGGTGGAGGGGGTTGAGTGCGCGGGGCGGAGAAGGCAGCCAGCCAGCGCCCCCCACCGGCTGCCCAGCCCCACTGCGTGGGGCTGAGAGGGGCAGAGGCAGCTGATGCTATGGGGGAGAAGAAAGGTGAGAGGGACCAGGACATCTGGTCACCCGAAGAGGGAGGGGGCTGTGCCCTGTGGGGCTTCCCTGCACAGAGACTGGACTGCCCCTATTTGCCCCAGCGGCGGGCAGGGCAGGCTCCCAGCTCTCCCTGTGTACCCAGCCTCACTTTTGCACTGGTGTCCCAGCCCACACTCAGCTGGCAGATCCCCTGGGCCCCAGGCTGGAACTGCTGCCGGCTCCCTCTGCTCCCCAAGATTTATTTTAAATAACACCCATTGCACTAGCATCCAGGGAGCATGGCGGCAATTATAGCCCAACTCTGCCCTCAGGAGTCGCAGTCCAACTCAACAGCAGATTTACCAGTATGATGATTCCTGAAAGGCCTGCCAGAACAAATATACCTTGCACTGTGTGATAAAAGCTGCCACACCCCAGAAAGGGGGAAATGTGGATCCTGACCTGGAAATGCCCTGCCCAGACAATAAAGTCCTAGGACTTGTCAGCAAGAGCAGCCCTGGTGATCTTAGAAGGAAAAGCCCCTCCATCCAGGCAAGTCCATGGGACTAAAACTCAGGAAAGCTTTAGTCAGCCACGGATCCCCAGGAGGTGTGTTTACACTTCTGTTTCATGTCCTTCTCCCGAGGTTGTTTAAAACATTGTGCGCTGGGGTTTGTACCAGTTCAGGGAGTCTATGTATTTCTCTTGGTGTATGGTAACAGTGCTTGAAAAGTCACTAGCATCTTTGGGTTTCCGATGTGTGAGCCTATTGTCATTGTGTCTCAGTCCTCTGATGTCTCCTGAGTGGCTCAACGAATCCATGAATTTTGCATCGTGCTCTGAAGCCTTTACGGCGTTATATCAAGTCAGAGCTGAGATACCTAAAACTTATTTCACAAAGTACCACTTCATTATTATATTATAGCGCTACATCATGTATGAGAAATGTTGGGGTCCCTCTGTGGTGCTTCCAAATCACCTAATTGTCGCAAGGATTCTTGCATGGCATTTTTGAGGAATAACTGGTATACTATGCAACTTAATTTTGTATCTCTTTCATTCAAATTGTATCCCAGATTGCTTTGCTGAGTTAAACAATACAATAACAGCAGAGAGAAAGAAAAACTAAGCCGAGAGAAAAGTTATGTTTCCACCAGCTGTTTGAAATGAGATGGATAATTGGAGAGGCAGAGAGATACAATCAGGCTGTTTCAGATGGCAATAACAGTGAAGGAGAAGCTTCCTTCATAGGCAGCACCCAGTTGCACGGAGGAAAGGCGAGAAGGCCAAATTAAAACGAGAGATGTGAAAAGTGAAAGGAGAGGGGATAGACAAAATCTGTGAGATTGGCATCCATTAAAGTGGTCAGTTTAGAACTGGATTTTGCAATGCATAGGGAGGCAGTAGAGTTGTTTGATGATGGAACTAATTTGGCCATGTCTTCCCGCTCCAAAAAATGCTCACTTAACAGAAACAGGAGTCCCCAGTGACTTTAAGATTTTTCTTTTCTGAATGACCTTGTCTAGAAGAGTTTCCACTGTTGCTAATATTGCTGCGTTAGCCATGTGAGGAAGCGTGTCAGCACTGTGTCAACTGGGCTCGCTTAAATAAGGCGATGCTGAAAATGGCTGCTAGAGCCAGAAAGCTGCCTACACTAGGGCTCCGAACATTGCAATGGTAGCAATCTTTTGTAAACATTTCCTAGTATAGACCTAGCCTATGCATATATCAGCACCAGTTGCTCAGTTTGTGTTTAGGTTTAGAGAGTTCAGCCAGAGTCAGGGTTCATCTTAATAAAGTGCACATTTTTAATGGTGAGTATAATCAATCATTGAAACAATTTACCATGGTAAAGCCTCCATCACAGACTATTTTAAAATCAAGATTGGATGTTTTTCTAAAATATATGCTCTAGGAATTATTTTGGGGACATTCTATTGCCTATATTATACAGGAGATCAAACTAGTTGTCCCTTCTGACCTTGGGAAGTTATCAAACAATCGCTTTCCAGGTTTAGGGTACATTGGAATCCCTGGGATGAATAAACTGGAAGGCAAAAGCCCTACTGTCGTTCTGTCTTTTGCTGTTCTGCTCACAGGGAGCTGGAAACTATGTTTTTGCTGTGCTGGCCCTCCGCAAACAAAATCTTCAATAAGGTAAGCCACATTTCTGTTTCTAAGGAATTGACTAACTTGAAAGTTTTGTTGGCTTATCTATGTTGGTAGATAGTGTGGAAAAATTGCCCCCTACCTGATATAGCAGCTGCGCCAGCAAAAACCCTCATGTAGGTGTAGTTATACTAACAAAAACATCCTTTTGCTGGTATAGGTTGTTTTGTTTGGGGAACTGGTATAAGCAGTAAGAATTCTTTTACCAGTTGTGGTAAACCCAGGACAAACAGCTATAAGGGGGGGGAGTAATTAGTCCCAGGGTGTTAAAAGGCCTCTCCCTACCCACTGAGGAGAGAGAACCACGGGGAAATAACGTTCAGCTGGAAAAGGGGTTACCAGGGAACTAATTAGGTTCAGCTGGCTCCAACGGCTTGAGACCTTTTTAAACCCTCCCCTGCGTGGAGGAAGAAGGAGGAGGAGGGGTGGGGGTGACAGAGTGAGAGAAGCAGGGAAGCAACTAGTAGGCTAGGTGCAGCAAGACACTGAACCCTTCCAAGAAGGAAGGCTGCATTCTCTCCCCAGAAGGGAAGGAAAACAAGCACAAGGGACTGACTGAGGAAAGGAATAGCTGGACCCTGTGCTACCTGTAAGGGTTTGCCTTGCCTAAGCCTGTGTCTATAAGGCTAAAAGGGACTGAGCCTGCTGAGGAGAAGGTACTTTGCCACACAGTATAAAGTGTTTTTCCAATATAGCTAAATAGGTACCCCATCTAGTGTAGACAAGGCCTTAGTTGTAAGTCTGGCATGCGACAACACGTATGGCCCTGGGGAAGGTAGGGGAGAGATGTGGCCCTTTAATAGGAAGATGTTGGCATCTCCAGAACAGTTCTGCTTTCCACAGCTTTGTTCTGCCCTTTGATGGAGGGCTGAGTGGTGTTGGACAATTTAACAATACATTGCATATATAATCTTGTAAAGCCTTTTGGGAAACCTTGGGATGAAAGGTGCTAAACAAAGTTGCTGCAGGTGTTTTGTAAAAGCAATGCAGTTTTGATTGTTGGAAGGTACTAAATGTGTGACTGATTATGGGCACAGCATGTAGGGGTCACTTCATCCTTCACTGAAATGCAGCCACTTCTGTGGTAGAACATGGCAGCTGTTTAATTACTCACAAGAAGACTACACAATGCTTTAAGAAAGGCAGTGAGGAAGATGCTGTGATTATGGCATG